GACACAACTATGTGTACCTCCACGACTCAGTTTCGCCCAGTGCCTCGCTCTATGGCCCGGGTCTGGGGGGAGAGGCCGGGAATACAATTGCCAAGTGCATAACTACAAACAAGTAGAACTACAAGTTCTACTTCGAAATGTGGCTGAGGACAAACTTACCTTCCCAGTATTACAATTATATATCTTGCTTGACCCATCAACAGATCCTGACAAGATGAGATTGTTGTTGTCATGGCAATCTAAAGATGTCACACTGTCTTGGTGACCAGAATTTCCTTAAAAAGCAATACATAAATTATTTATTTCAGAAAAACAAAGCAAGAATAAAGTAGTTATTAGACTAGACAAGGCAGGGGAATAGACATAAACCCTATTTATATTATAATAGACTAATCAATGCTCATTACTGATGAATATAATAATATTTAAAAAGTAAATATAAAAATTATAAAAACAAAATACAAAATTTATTTTAATAGACATATGTCTGTTTTATATAGTGCCAAATCTTTTTCACATTATTACATGATCATTGCATCAAACACCTATGAAACATTTACACACTCCAAAGGGGGATATAGTTCCATGTGTCTTAAATGACTACTCTCAACCCTTGTTAGTGGAGGAAGTCGCTTCTAATATCCACTTATATACTAATGCATTTTCTTTGCTACAGAACTGTGAATGAAATATTTTGGCAAAACAAGTTTTGATAGCTTTAGCAATACAAATTTCAAAATTTACTTTATTACTGACAACCAACGAAGGTACTCTCCACACTTTTATACAAATAACATAATGATTTTAAACATTCTTATATTAGCTTCATTATGGGTAATCTGCATACAGATGTACATACTGTTTTACCACACCTTACTAAACTATGGACAGACAGATGTAGGTATTGCAACACCCTGGACAATATACCAAGAACGTGATAATACAGTAGTATGCCTATGACTATCAGGTCTCCCTCCAATTAAAGACCACTTTTGAGACTGAGGTTTCCATAGTCTTTAGCAGCTTTGGTCTCTAATTAGAATAATAAAGATAAAAGACATTTGGTAATTTGGGGCCACAGAATTGTGGTCTATAATTGGGGGCAGTCATTAATTGGAGGCAGTCATTAATTGGAGGGGTTTTCAATTGGAAGGAGACCTGTATTATCAAAAAGACCTAACATGGGCATTCACTCGACGCTGCAGAAATGTGGTTTTTAATTGGAGGTAGTCTGTCACCGGAGATATCTATAATTAGAGGGAGACCTCTACACTCACTCAACTCACCTTTGAATGTTGTCAATGCTTTAGCTGTCTTTAAATCCCAAACCTTAATAACGCCATCTTCATAACCTGCAGAACACTGTTTACCTAAGTAATAAAAACACTTGCTTTTTTATTGCTATTTCTTCATTTCCATGGGTCTGAATATTCATAAAACATCTCTCCCTGTTCTTCAATTAGAAAGAAATTTACTATAGCGAAAAAAAAATGCAAGCTACTCTAATTCACAGGATATATGATATATTTCAATAACTCTAGGAAAAATATTTAAATTACAACTGCTGTGTTTCATGCTGAGGCTTATCAATGGAGCATCCAGGAATTTGAAGAGCAAGACAATAGTTGGGACAGCTGAGGTACAAAATTGTATGTCTATGGCACCTCTACATGGCTGGAAAGAGCACTTTCAACATTTTTGAAGAAAATTTTTGTTTACCTCATTATTTTTTTCACATTCAAAAATTTAGAAACCAAGGTTGCCCACCTTGAATCTGCCTGCTTATAAAGAGGATTTTCATTAGTAGATCACTTACCATCTGAAAAGATCTCTGCCGTGGTGGTCTGACACCCATGACCTTGCATGGTCTTGCATTCTCCACTCGGTATCTTCCACATCCAAATGTCACCATCTGCAGTGCCTGCCAGGAGGACGTGGGCAGATGGATGCCACTTCATCCACTTCGGGGAAAAAATGATTATTATCAGTTTCTGATTATAGAGGGCACAATAATTTATGAAATATCTAATGTCATCATACGATTATTGATGAACAAGAGAATTGTTATTTTGTGCAGGTAGGTGTGTGCAACTAAATCAAACCCATCCTGTTTCAAGATAACACAGTCACATTTTTCAAATCTACTTACGTTTATGTGATTTTGAGATTTTCAAAATAAATTCATTCATTAAAACAATTTACAATAAGCATCATATTGCATGAATATTTGTTTTCTCAATTTACCAATAAATTGGTAATAGAATTTAAATTTCTTCTGCTCCTACCTCTAGGTCAGAGCATTCAAATGACCAAATTTCTTCCCAGGATTCTGTGCTCCACACTTTGATTAGTCCGGACATGTCACCCGAAGCAACAAACTTTGAGTCACTGCTGAACCCTACACAGGTGACCGAGTCCGAATGTCCTAAATAAAAGAAGTTAATATAGACATATGTTGGACCTGCAATCAATTTTTAAATACAATATTATACAAATACTGAATATTCATGAGTGGAGCCGAAATGAATGGAACAGTCAAACTTTTAACAAATTAAAATATTCTTTCCATTGCACAAATAAAAAACATTCATTATTTGTTTTATAACACATGAAATAGATTCTTGTCATTTGATATTTTATGAAAAAAATCTACCATTTTTCTGAATGGAGATTCTAGTCATTTAATGTTTTATGAAAAAATTTACCCTTTTTCTAAATAGAATAGAATAGTGTCTCTTTAACCAATCAAAAGATTGTATTAGGTTGATTGCCATATCGTATCCTAGGCACCGTGTAATGGGAAAAAACAGGTGGAAAGAAAATACACAGATGGAAATAAAAATGCACGGTGGAACTAAATTTCCATGATGAGTAAATGGAGTAAATAACCAATGTCACATGATATGAAATCCACCACTCAAATGACAGGCATCTATTTAGCGGTGTTATAAAAGTATTTACTGGCTTCTATTTCAACTGAGCCTGTGAGTTAGCAGTCATGAATATGCTAATTTGTAAAAGCAATTACCGGTAATCAGTGGCGTCGAGAAGGGGGGTCAGGGAGGGGGTTGCTGCACCGGGGCCCGGGTCTACTGGGGGGCCCGGACCAAGATGAAAAATTTTCGGGGTAAAACAAAATCTCCATAGGGCCCGAGCCCAAGCCAGGATGAAAACTTTTGTTGTCAGAACAAACTCTACATTATGGTTTTATGGGCATCTTTGCGAAAAAATAATCACATGGAATCATATTCATGTATGTAGGTTTGGACAAATAGGGTCTTAGAAGGAGACTTAATTTGGGGCGCAGCCAAGTGGGGTCCCAAGTGAAGAAGGGGGCCCAGGTGAGGTGTTGCCCTAGGTCCCTTACTGGCTCTCGATGCCACTGCCGGTAATATTCTGAACTGACATAAAGACGCCCAACAGCACGGTACAAGATGAATCTTATCAAAAAACTAGAGTCATGATTGAAGGAAATATAATCTCCAAACCTGTGCAGATTAGAGCTGTTGTGCCATCGGCTATGTTCCACACATAAGCCTTATCGTCTTCTCCTCCAGTAATAGCCAAGCTAGATGTTTTGGGGTCAAGATCACAACTGAACACTGAAGCTAAATTTTGATAAATAATAAATGCTTTTTTATTAATAACCATACAAAATGATGTTTTGCTGTTTAGAATATCACTTAAAATCAGTGGTGGATCCAAAACTCAGTGTACTCTAGGTGGTAGATTAAGCTTTTATCATTTTTGAAATTAAGTATCAATTGTATTAATTTAGACAGGACCATTTTAAAAAGACACAGTTACATTTTGTCTGAAATTGTATAATGTATATGTTATAAATTTTTAAAAAATTAAAAATCTGAAACAGAAGGTACCTTGATAAAGAATTTTACAGATAGAGGGTTTAGACTACCTCAGCCCGAAGATGGTTGTGGCTGAGCAGTGGCAGATCCAGAAATTTGAAATAAAGGGTCCAGAGAGGAACTTTCACCAACAGAGGGCACAAGGTAAGAAAATTTATGATTATGGCACCTCTAGACGGCCGGAAATGAATCCTCCAGTGCTGAAGTAAATACTGTACCTCTATACCTTTACTAGATGGCCCATAAATCGCAATCTCAAACTTAAATTTAAATGAAATTCATTTGATTAATTTCATTTAATATTCAAAAACTTTAAGTGGGGCAGGGTGTCCCACTTCAATACCTGTATGTGCTTTGAAGCAGAAGTCAGAATCATCTTGTATGTCTTCCATCCTAGCTTCATCCTCCTCTTTTTCCTCTTCAGCTCCTTCTTCATCTTCCCCATCATATCCTTCCATCTCCATCTCGCTTCCATCTTGAAAAGGACAAAAATTGTTGAGATATATTTTACTAAAAATATTTCTGCTTATGATAGTACAGCCTCTACACAGTAAAAACTATGTCCTAGGCATAGGTCTTTGTGAAATAATTGTTTGGTAACCTCGAACACAAATTGTGCTGACTACAGCTGCAAAATTAGGCCTAAAAAAAAATAAATTGTTTGTTTGCCCTTTAATGCTGGATATTGCATAGGAGGAGCGGGCGCAAAAACATTTTTTTTTTTTTTTTTAGTTTTTTTTTTTTCTCCTGTCACCAAAATTAACATAGTATTAAATTGCAATGCTTGCAATTATACCTGTCTCACTATTTGTTTTCAAAGGGTATTCATCAGACTGAATAAAAATAAGCCATAATCATTATTTTGCATCAGACACCAAATTTAGACAACTTTCATGTGCAAAATGGAGAAAAATAATAACAACATTTGTGAACAAAAAAATTGAAAAAAAAACCAAAAAAAACTTTCAATTTCTCAGTGAGTGAGGGGCGGGCGCTGGAGGGCAAACAAACATTTCTTTTGTTAGGCCTTATGGAATTCTTCCTAGGGAGATGAGTATGTGTTCCATACAGTATGTGCTTGATCCAATGACCAGTGGTAATTATGTGAAGCACTTAGAGGCCTTGTTGGCATTATGAGCTTTAGAAGTCCAACACATTATTTTATTATTGTTATTTTTATTATTACTATTACTATTATTATTATCATTAATATTATTATTATATTTCATTTCATTTATTTCGCCAAATAGATATAAATATATAAAATATACAAATATAAAATTTCAAAAAGAGTAATTGTTGTCATGTGGCAGGATTGCCCAAATGTAGAAGATCTACTGTCGAGGGGCTCTCCTCATGACAACAAAAATACAATATCGCAATTCTATATACATAATTTTAAAAATATTATAAACATTAAAATGCAGTACGGTATAAGAAAACATAATATAATTACAAAAAGATTAAAAGGCCTAATAAAAAGTACAGATAAAATAAACCACAGAGAGAACAATCAAGCAAATTCCCAAATCCCTTAAATGTTGTTATAATAATCATTCAGTTCCATCAAAAAATTATTAATGTTAAAGAGTAATAAATTTCTTTTATCAGCAGGTAAAGCATTCCAGAGTCGGGGGAAACTATTAAAAGCTGTGTGTTTTAAAGCATTAGTCCTGGCTAAAGCATGTGTAAATTTTAAATTGTCAGTGTGTCTTTGATTGACAGAAACAAATGGAAATATATCCAAATCATGAATTGAGTAGAGACACTTACAAATTAATGAGATTGTCAGTAAATTAAATCGGTGTTTTAGAGAATGTATTCTAAGGTTAGTAAGTCTCTCTTCATAAGGTGGACAATTGATAAATAAATAACAGGCCCTCGTCGCTCTCCTTTTGAATGCGTTCTAATTGCTGAATATGTCCTTGTTGATAGGAATTCCAGGCTGGGACACACCATACTCAATGAGAGGTCGAACAAGAGCAGTGTATAATTTTAATATGAGTTTTGAATTAGAAAAAGGAATGAGCCGTTTGATGAAACCCAAGAGACGTGAAGATTTAGATATGACAGATTTTATATGTTCCCCCCACCCTAAATTTGAAGAAATAATAGCACCAAGATACTTATAATGTTTTACAATGTCGAGTTGGGAACCATTAATACTGTAAGTTTTCAAGGATTCACTGACAATTTTTGAGCGGGTGATTCTCATTATTTTAAATTTAGTTTCGTTAATAGTCATGTGATTATTCTTACTCCAATTGTATATAGTATCTAAATCGGATTGAAGGACATGTTCATCAAGAGGACAACAAATCAGTAATTTATTATTAATTATTTATTTAAACCAGTTCTGCATTTTCAACCAATCAGATGCTCAGATGTATGTACTGAAAAACATTTAGATGTAGCATATATTGAAAAGGATTGTTGTACCTTCTTCACCTTGATGATCAAGGTCAATAACCTCAACAAGGTCATCTTCATTTACTTCCACTACATCACTTCCATCCACAAGCTGATTCTCAGAATCTTGATCACTCTCCATATTAACAAGTCTAAAATATATAATGAAAATGCAAAAAAAGTTTTTTTTTTTTATTTTGTTAATTTATGTTTGTTTTATTAATGTTCTACACATTAATAATTACAATAAATTATAATAAATGTACAGCTGAAATTAAAATAATTACTTATGCTAAATCCTGTACAATTATAATAAAAAAAAAATTAAACTACAATAAAGCCAAATAAAAAAAAATTACTTGTTTAGCGTCACATGTACAGTTTTATCAGTAATTTACAAATCCAAGTTGGATAGTTAGATCATGGACCTATTAATATTATTATTAATAGGATGCTACTTTGTCAGTGCCACGCTTAGGCACAACTTGGATTGCATAAGCTACAAACTCACACATTCCCACTGAGCATGATCCTATATTGTTACTTTTTATATTGTACTTTTCAACATCATGAACAAAGTAAATCCAGACAAAGAAATTGTTCCATTGAAAATTTTAATATTTTCAATCTTATTCAGAAAATAAAAAAGTGTTAAAATTAATCATTTTCAATAGGCCTACAATAAATATTACACCTGGTTAGTGAAATCATTGTTATAATTCAATTAAAATGAGCCTATACAGACTTATTTTTTCGTTCCTGAACTCTGATTGGCTGTGCATTTTTTCGCTTTGAAAAAAGTAGACAGTTTAAACTACTGATTTCACTGAAGTGAAAACTCAATGTGAGCGCATGTGCATGAGGCAAAAAAAAATTGTTGTATTGGCCACGTTTTAGGGAAAATCCAAAAAATGCTTAGGTCAGTAGGAAAAATTTTTCTTTTTTTAACAACCAAAAATATGTTTATGCCTAAAATGTAGAGAATACAAAATAATATACATTATAATACAATAATTTTGGATTCGCATTGCGTACCATCCAGCAAAATAGGCTAGGCCTTGGCCCCCTAGCCTGACCGGCCAAGCCTTATTTGCTTATACTGTCCAAAAATATTGTTCGTTGTAGTCAAAAAGAGAGAAAAAAAAAACTAAAAATGCTGACACTGAATTTCGTAAAATTTAGGTCGGTCGGTCTGGCGTGGGCAACACAATTTTTTTTATTATATAATATCTGTCTCTTATACACATCTAGATGTGTATAAGAGACAGCAGTTGTTTTCCAGTATTTTGCCTTTTAATCTATATATATATATATATATATATATATACACACATTTAGATCGCTTTTGATTCGCGCGAACAAATTTACCTAGCCTAAGCCTAGCCAGGGACCCATGCCTACTCTTTCTCTATGTTAGACCTCAGACTTAGGTTAGGCCTAGCCTAGATAGGGCCTAGCCTAGCTAGGCCCTAAGCCTACTGTAGTTTACTACTATACTATAGGGAGTATGGTCGTAGCAGCCGCGAGGGAAAGCGGCCACGCTCAAAATGTATGGAACGCCAGTAGCGCTATTCCGATTGATTGATTGATTAAAGATCGATTTGTTTACAGATTGATTACAGATCGAAACATTTTGTACGTACATGACATAATTGAATTATGATATGATTAAATTGATATTTATTATATGTTATCAGTTCTGATTTTTATGTATAATGAACTTGTATTTTATATTTCTTTCAGGACACAAACGGATTTCAACATGGGATCTGTCAATACTAAATTTACAATGTAATAAAATGTGATGAACGTGAAAAACATAGGTCAAATGCAATGACAAACAGATGTTCATTCACTAAAGAACAAACTGAACACAAGTTAGTAAAATTCGAATAGATAACTAAAGAAAGAAGCCAGTTAAAAAGTACCATCCATTTCTGTAAGAAAATAGGCATACTATAAATCAATTGATATAATAAATAATCTAACTAAATATTAAGTCTCGATTTATATACTAGGCTTAGGCTATATATAAATTATGAAAGAAAATATACATTAATTTGATAATTGATTAAAGCAGTATTAATATCGAACTCTGATGCCCATTATCCAACATACATTTTGCATACAGTACTGCGCGCTTGGCGCTCCATACAAATTGCTGTGTATCGACTCGCGGCCGCTTTCCCTGGCGGCCGCTACGACCCTAATCCTAGGCCTACTATGAATTACTATAGGCCTACCCTAGGTTAGTTAGGCCCTAAACCCAGTCCTAACGCTAATTAATTAACCCGGGCTTATACTCCTAATTTACATTGTCTATTTACCAACTAACAATGTATGAATGCGTTTCAAAATTATTAATGATAAATTAAAACTATCGACATGAATTCCAGTCACACGAGCAACATCATGGAAGCTGCCATATTGGATATTTTGCGTAGACTCTTTAAGTACTAATACCAAGAGTACGAACATATTGTCAATACATTATTAGTCCTATTGTGAATAGCCTTATTGTGCCTAACCGGTGTATTTTATTGAGCTATATGACAGGCAACTGGGGAAATAGCTAGTAGTTGTGTAAATGCACCCTTCACGAGGTATTTAAGTTATACCAAACAGGTCGGTCACTCATGGTTGACCCTACATAGTATTAAATTGCAATGCTTGCAATTATACCTGTCTCACTATTTGTTTTCAAAGGGTATTCATCAGACTGAATAAAAATAAGCCATAATCATTATTTTGCAGACGACACCAAATTTAGACAACTTTCATGTGCAAAATGGAGAAAAATAATAACAAAATTTGTGAACAAAAAAATTGAAAAAAAAAACAAAAAAAAACTTTCAATTTCTCAGTGAGCTAGGGGCGGGCGCTGGAGGGCAAACAAACATTTTTTTTGTTAGGCATTATGGAATTCTTCCCAGGGAGCTGAGCATGTGTTCCATACAGTATGTGCTTGATCCAATGAACAGTGGTAATTATGTGAAGCACTTAGAGGACTTGTTGGCATTATGAGCTTTAGAAGTCTAACACATTATTTTATTATTATTGTTATTATTATTACTATTACTATTATTATTATTATCATTAATATTATTATTATATCATTATTATTATTAATTATTTATTTAAACCAGTTCTGCATTTTCAACCAATCAGATGCTCAGATGTATGTACTGAAAAACATTTAAATGTAGCATATATTGAAAAGGGTTGTTGTACCTTCTTCACCTTGATGATCAAGGTCAATAACCTCAACAAGGTCATCTTCATTTACTTCCACTACATCACTTCCATCCACAAGCTGATTCTCAGAATCTTGATCACTCTCCATATTAACAAGTCTAAAATATATAATGAAATTGCAAAAAAAGTTTTTATTTTTTTATTTTGTTAATTTATGTTTGTTTTATTAATGTTCTACACATGAAATAAATTATAATAAATGTACAGCTGAAATTAAAATAATTACTTATGCTAAATCCTGTACAATTATAATTTAAAAAAAATTAAACTAAAATAAGGCCAAATAAAAAAAAATTATTTGTTTAGCGTCACATGTACAGTTTTATCAGTAATTTACAAATCCGAGTTGGATAGTTAGATCATGGACCTATTAATAATATTATTAATAGGATGCTACTTTGGCAGTGCCATGCTTAGGCACAACTGGGATTGCATAAGCTACAAACTCACACATTCCCACTGAGCATGCTCCTATATATGTACTTTTCAACATCATGAACAAAGTAAATCCAGACAAAGGAACTGTTCCATTGAAAATTTAAATATTTTCAATCTTATTCAGAAAATAAAAAAGTGTCAAAATGAATCATTTTCAATAGGCCTACAATAAATATTACACCTGGTTGGTGAAATCATTGTTATAATTCACTTAAATCAGCCTATACAGACTTATTTTTTCGCTTCCTGAGCTCTGATTGGCTGTGCATTTTTTCGCTTTGAAAAAAGTAGACAGTTTAAACTACTGATTTCACTGAAGTGAAAACTCAATGTGACCGCATGTGCATGAGGCAAAAAAAAATTGTTGTATTGGCCACGTTTTAGGAAAAATCCAAAAAATGCTTAGGTCAGTAGGAAAATTTTTCTTTTTTTAACAACCAAAAATGTGTTTACGCCTAAAAAGTAGAGAATACACAATAATATACATTATAATACAATAATTTTGGATTTGCATTGCGTACCATCCGGCAAAATAGGCTAGGCCTTGGCCCCCTAGCCTGACCGGCCAAGCCTTATTTGCTTATACTGTCCAAAAATATTGTTCGTTGTAGTCAAAAAGAGAGGAAAAAAAACTAAAAATGCTGACACTGAATTTCGTAAAATTTAGGTCGGTCGGTCTGGCGTGGGCAACACAATTACTGAGATCCAGCCATTGTTTCCCACAGCATTGTTGTTTTCCAGTATTTTGCCTTTTAATCTATATATATATATATATATATATATACACACATTTAGATCGCTTTTGATTCGCGCGAACAAATTTACCTAGCCTAAGCCTAGCCAGGGACCCATGCCTACTCTTTCTCTATGTTAGACCTCAGACTTAGGTTAGGCCTAGCCTGCTAGGCCTTTTTTTTAGGCCTAGCCTAGATAGGGCCTAGCCTAGCCTTGATAGGGCCTAGCCTAGCTAGGCCCTAACCTAAGCCTACTGTAGTTTACTACTATACTATAGGCCTACCCTAGGTTAGTTAGGCCCTAAACCCAGTCCTAACGCTAATTAATTAACCCGGGCTTATACTCCTAATTTACTGTCTATTTACCAACTAACAATGTATGAATGCGTTTCAAAATTATTAATGATAAATTAAAACTATCGACATGAATTCCAGTCACACGAGCAACGTCATGGAAGCTGCCATATTGGATATTTTGCGTAGACTCTTTAAGTACTAATACCAAGAGTACGAACATATTGTCAATACATTATTAGTCCTATTGTGAATAGCCTTATTGTGCCTAACCGGTGTATTTTATTGAGCTATATGACAGGCAACTGGGGAAATAGCTAGTAGTTGTGTAAATCAGGAAGTCAGGTATCCGTCGTTTAAATAGAAAACGTATGGGCCTAGAGGTCAAGGTAAGTTTTCAAAAAGGAAAGGTCGTACTAAAGATCAGCAAAAACACTGCAAAATGAGTGGGAAACACACTACATTGCAAGTTTTAACGTTAAATTGTTGGTGAGTAAACTTTTAAATGTAAAACATGCCACTAAATGGATCAACGTTGATGATTATTACGTAAATTGAAAAAAGCCAGCTACCACCAGCAGAGCTAGCCTAGTATAGTAAAGTAGGCCTAGCTAGGCCTAGTAGGTAGGCTAGTTCACCTAACCTAGGCCAGGCCCAGGCCTGGTTAGGGCCTAGACTAGCCTGCCGGTGCTGGCCTAGGGTAGATAAAATCTTAAAGAAGGGGAGTGGAGTGGTTGGAAATTGAAATTGTGTGTAAGTGTAAAACTAAAGTAATGATTGGAGGCCTAAACCCAGCCAGGCATTGCTGCAGTAATGCTGTATGTTAGCAGAGGATACTTTGTTTGGAATGTGTCTTCTCGTACACTCTTACTCTTATTGTTGTTTTTTATTTATTATAAGGATTATTGAGACTTTTTTATATCTTTTTTTGTGAACTTATTTTTTTTAAATACGCCATAGGAAGTCGGAAATAAAAATAACATTTTGTTTTCTTATTTAGCAGATAGTTTTGCTAAAAACATCCAGATGGAGGAGGAGAATATAAAATTAACATTTTATTGGTGAATTTAAACATTGTAGGCCTAGGACAGGTAGGGACTAGTAATGAGGTGGTTAATAAATGCTTTAAATTTGTATAATTAGGAAGAAATATACATATCTTATTTTTGGAGATTTCAAGGCAGCGGCGTGCATAATAAAAATATAGAAAAACTTTTATTTTTTTTGTGAAATTTCCATTTTTTCAGTCAAATATAAAATTTGTTTTTATTTGAAATCATTACCAACGGCCGGCGGGTTTGCTAAACAAGGTATAGAATTGTCTTTTCTTATATATGGCACCTAACTAACAACTTAGCAAGCTCAGCCTAAGTAAGATTTATAATTAGGCTTTTTTACAACCTGCTTTTTAAAGTTTACTAATGTGATTGATTCATCTTCTTTGTGCATAGCTTTGTTGACTTTTCAACAGCCAATCACTGTTTATGATGCTTATTTCAGGGGTGTTCCATACCTTTCCAAGGATAAGGAAATACGGTTCAAGAAGATTATACAAGAATTGGCAAAAGGGGAATATGATATAGTGGCACTGCAAGAGGTAGGTTGATCATGTGACTCAAGGATGAGTCAGTCTAATAATACATTTGTCTTTAAGCCTGGAAAGCACACCTCATTTCCATTGAAATAAGGTTTGCAGGGAATTCCATACTTATAGTAATTAGTAGGCCTAAACAAGTCAAGTGTGGAGGATCTATGATACTACAGTAGTACCCCTTTTACACTGCCAAGGGCAGAATCGACCCGGGTTAATTCCGGAGTGATCCCGGGTGCATTTCCCATTTACATCAAACGAAAAAGTCCAAGTTGATCCCGAGATGCTCCCATTTTACATCGGCAACGAACTCCGGTTCAAATACCGCCCTCAATTTTTGTTGCGATGGTGATCATCACATCGCCACGAAGCCACAATTATTGTCAATATTGAAGCAATGTACCTGCAGATTGTTTTTAAATTATGCGAATTAAATCAGCAGTTTTGATATCAAGTCTATACCAGAGCGTAGAGGGTTTAATTTGAAAAGTGTCTAGGCCTAGCCTGTTGTTAGCAAAGTTTAGGCCTACCTGACCACAGCTGTGGTAGGCGCCAGGTGAGGCCTAATTCCGGAATCAAATTCAGTGCTGTTTACACTGGCGACTCCGGAATGCCCCCGGGTTGTCCTACGCTGATTACATCCCGCAGAGAAAATGAATGAGCAAAGGTACGAGAAACAACTCATTTTTTTTATTTGGCCAAATACGGTAATGAGTGAAAATACAATGAAAACAAATATTCTTGCCTGTGCAGTAAATATGCCTCACAGTTAAAAAACAGGGTTATTTAATAATTGAAAACTCAGACCTTATATTTGTTCATTATTGAATTCCTTAATAATAGCATAATCCATTAATATATCAGTTTAATTTCTATCATACATTTGCCTTGATCTATAAGAAATATATTCCTTGTAATGTTTCTCAGATAATTATATTGTTGATTAATTATCAGTAATTATATAAAGCTTTAAAAATTCAACGTGTTTTGACCTCTTTTTGTACATCTCAAAAATGTAAAATTTTTTTTAAGGTGTTTACGAACAGTGATATTAAGGACTTACAAGAGGGATTAAAGAAAGTGTTACCTTATTCGCATTATTTCTACAGGTCGGTGTAAATTTATACTAAAAGTGAATTTCTGTTTTAAAAACAAATATATGAAGAATAAGTAAAAAAATAAAGTTGATAATGAAGTTAATATTGTTACCTATTATGAATGAGTGGGGTTGTTGCATTGAACTGGGTTCAAGGTATGTCAAAATACCATGATTTTTCAACGACTTAATACAATACAATATAACTTTATTAGTCAATAAAAGCAATAAATCAAAAACAACCTCTCACCATCAGAGCTATAATATTGAGTGAGACTCCCAAAGTAATATGATATAATAATTAAGAAAATATTAACTGGAGTTGAATCTTCATTTAAACATTTTACAGAAATTAGTGGCAATAAATAAATAAATGGAAGATAAAACATATTAACTTCCCATTATGCTAATATTTATCACTTTCAATTTGCTATTAAAAACAAAATTAATTTGGAAAGTGTAAGTGAAACTGGTAGAAAAACGTGTTAAGAAATATTTGTTTAGTTAGTTTCATTTTTCATATTTTTATTTGTGACCCAAGCTCACAAAAGGGCCGTAAACTCGCACTGCACTGTATTGAGAAACAAGCCTCAATAGGGCGAAACGTGAATTTTGTGTGAATTGGGTTTTTGTATAATAAATAAAGTATAAGTTATTAACTTTTAATCTTACTATTCCCGAAGTTTGAGTTTAAAATTCCAACTGTATTCCAACCATTTTCAGATGGGAGCTAATGAAAAATGAATAGAAACCTGCCGAAAATAAAAGCATTTTTCTCAAAACTTGATTTAAGATGACAATTATTCAAACGGTCATAACTTTGCTTCCAGACACCCGATTGAGATCATTTAACTGTCATTTTAAAGTAAATGATATGTTCTATGCCATTATAACAAAAACTCATTTTTGCCTGAGGACGAGTTTACAGTCTGTTTGTGAGCTTGGGTCACATTTTATATATTTTCTTGATGTTTGTAAGGATGTCCAGAGGTAGATCGATTTATTTAATGTTTCCTTCATACTGTATCTATAATTTACTTACCTGTATGTCTTGTATAGTTTATTTTACAATAAATATAACATGAACAGTTTTTTAAAATAATTTTCCAATCACCTTTTCCAGTGGCTTTATAGGCAGTGGGGTTTGTATTTTTTCTAAAGGACCAATCCTTGACACAGCGCAAAAGGCATTTTCTCTAAACGCATTTCCACACAAGATCCGTCACTGTGATTGGTACGCCAAGAAACTGGTTGGATTATGCCAAGTGGAAATAGATGGTCTGAAGATCAATGTTTACACTACACATGTAAGTAAAGACATTCTACACATTTTAAAGTTTTGTTATATGTATGTACTTTATATATATTTTTTTAGATTTTTTTAAAAATATATCTTTTTTTAAATTGTACAACTACATAATAATCATACTCTTTAATGTAAGCATAAATGGCCATTGATTCCGAGAAGCTCATCTGCTTGCTCTTTGTTATCTATCTTTCATGCTACTGGGTACTATTCAGCATTTTGCTAACACTACAAAGTGGGGTTGCCAGTCTTACAGTGGTTGTGGTTGACAGCCTGACCAACCCAGTTTAACCATGCACTTCTACTACAGCTGCAAATGTTAAACTAGTGGTTCCATTTAACTAATTTTATGTTTGTACACTGTGTAATTACTATATTAGAAAGTACATGTATTCATATCACTGTAGCACTTTACATTATTTTACTTCACACTGGTCATGTTTTATTCTGGTGATTTACAGTGAACAGTACAGTAGTCAAGTTTATTTAGGTGTAGTAAGGCTATTCACTGCTTCACTGCCAACCACAGGGATGGAGCGCTGAGTATGTTTGCATTTTCAACAAGCATGGAAGTGTCGGCAACCTCTAAACTGATGATTTAACTATATAAGATTGCCACTTCAATAATCTGAAAAACTATGATTATTGTTTTTTTCCCAGATGACAGCAATGTACGGACCATCTCATGATGAGAGTTTCATTGACCAGGACGAGTACTACGCACATCGTCTCGTCCAGTCCTATGAACTGAGTAGCTTTGTCCGACAGACTTGTCAGTCAAGTGATGTTAACTTGGTCATGGGGGATTTCAACTCGGAGAAGAGCTCCCTTTGTATGCAGATTATCTTAAAAAATGCAAACTTGAGAGATGCCTGGGAAGAGAGACCAAACAAGGAGGTAAAGATTAAGAGCCAGTTGGGTTGAAAACAAATAATATTGTTAGTTCAATCTATGTATTTAGTGTACAGTATATTTGCTGCATTTTGTTATGTCATGTTTGATACTACATAATAGCCCATCAAAGCAGTCAATAGTATACACTGGTTGTACTTGTCTTCTAGAAAAGGGTAACTTTATAATGTGCAATAATGCAATAATGTCTGTATGATGCTGTACTGCATCAAGGGTGGCGTTGGATTTTGTTTGAAGGAGTCTTTTATGGAAGAAGTAAGTAAACAAACTTGCCTATGGACCTGGTAATGTCAATTGGAAAGTTTTGAAGAGACTTTCTGTAAAATATTACATATTTTAAGCCAGGTGATCACTGCAACCAGCAGTCATTTGCCGACGTGATTGTATGGAGAACGCAATGCCGCGACGCACGCGCAACAGATCTTTTTTAATGATGATTCATTCAGACTGCCACCGACAATCAACAGATGGCATCGCATCATCCAGCACAAGGAACAGATTTTGATTTAGCAAACGTACAACACAATGTTTTCCCAGCTATAGGCTTCAATTATGTTCAGTTACCAATCCTAGGTACCGGGTTATATTGCTCTTAGATGACCTTTAATTGCCTCGCTAGATTGATCACCCTTGTTAGAATTATAGCATATCATGAGGTGTAATACAAAAATGATAACAATAAAATGTAATCTTTTAGCCTTAACATGTGTGCTATTTATTATTTCTCTTCGCTCTCATTTTCCAGGATGGTAATATAGGCACCACATGTGACAAACCTAATAACGTATATACCCATGTGAAAAAGAAACCGGAAGAAATTACTGAAGGTATACGGATAGACTACATCCTGTACAATGGTAACGACAAAGATGTTGTTTGCCGAGACTGCTGTTTGACCATGGGACAGATTCCAGGATTTGACATATTTTACTCGGATCATGAAGGTGTTAGAGCAACACTAGACATTGTCTCTAAAGATGGTGAGCAAACCCTGTGGTTTTTGTCTCTGTGATAAATGATGTTTAATGATATGTATATATATTAAAATTTTTATTAATGGAAATAAATTTGTATTCTATAGTATTAATGGACCATTCTGCTAAGGTATTGTTGCAAGGTCCTGCACACTAATGGCTTAATTGTAGGTAAAAACATGCGTTTGTGGAACAACATGTGTTTGTAGAACGCACGCATATCCCAGGCCTTGTCCTGATTGGTCAATTGTTAAGTATGATTGACACTCTGTAAAGGCCCATTGCCTAGTGTAGTTTGGCAGAGTTGTAGATGTAAGGGTGTGCTTCTTTGTCTTTTTCTGTGTCTTCATGTTTAAGTGTTGGAAATTGAGACATCAAGTTGTAGTTATTATTTCTTTGTATCCCTACAGCTATTGAAACACTGAATTTACAGTATTTTACTCTGTATATATATATAATGTAATTATAATGTAACTTGGCCTTTCACTTTTTTGTAGTTTTGTTGAACTTAAGTTTTTATACAGTATTATAGCTAACTATATTATAGTTTACTAGGGCTCCAGACTTTTTTCGTGGTGACCTTGTGCTTTTGGGGCCCAAGGCACGCCAGGATAAATAAATGAAATATACGTACTCTAATTACATTCAATGAAGTCTGCATATTTATACTGAAATGTAATTTGCTTTTTTGACAGAATCTGATGCCGGAGAATTACCAGCAAAGGGCATAGAGCTGCAAACAGTTTTAAACAAGGTGTCTGGAGTCCTAGAGAAGGCCAAGTTAGAAAATATAAAACAACAGAGTTTTTATTGGCAAGCCATATTACTCTTAGTTGTAATGTACATATTAAAGGCTTTGATTATTGGTGCCCTAACTTTTGTTGTAGATTTGATTTTCACGGTTGCAACGATACTATTTATGTGGGGGTTGTTCTGGACAGCGGTGGTTGAGAAGCGTTTTGAATTTTGGGGCTTGACAGCGACTGCAGAGGACGTCAAAACCAGAATGAAATTTGTTCAGCGTGTTTATCAGGCTTTTAAATGATTTTGGAATCTGGACAAAATCATGATTCAAATTGGACATATGTAGTGTTTCTATTCAAGTAAGAACAATGGGAACTATTCTAATTTGTAAATTGTACTTAAATATTTTAATGCAGAATCATGTATAAATTTTTGAAGATAAGTGGCTCTTGTGTTATAATATGCATACTATATTTAAAAGCAAAGCTGATATTTCAAAGTGTGCTGTTAATTTTATGCAAATTATTTTTCTTTGATTTGGATTTTATATGGCAAATTTAAAGTTTTAGTAGACATAGGATTTTAGTGTGCCTGTTTGAACAGAATAAACTTAATAGTTGTAAAGAGAGGTATCTTGCTACAGTAACATGATTGATTCTGGTTTTACATTGTGCCTAGTTTTGGAATGTGGCACCAGTTATACTGTATGTCTTAAATGTCTCTTTAGTTAAATATAATAATTATAAATAAATCATAGGTTTTAAAAGATTTGAGATTTTTAAAAATAAAAGTTATGGTAGATTATTTAACTTAAGCATGGTTTGTAAATCGTATGCCTGGTTACCCAAGTATGTAAAATATTATTCTAAAAATAACTAATTATTCATGTTGAAATATATGCCTATATTTAAATTATGATAAATTTATCGCTTTGCAGGTGCTGTAAATTATTGTTACAGTATTATATTGCTATGGATATTAATGGTGCAATTCAAACCAGGGACCCAAAGCATTCGTCAACGGACGGCGTGTCCTCTACCCTAGTGGAGTAATCGCTTAGTTAAATGATTTCACACTTGGTTAGAGATTTGTTGGTGCTTCCTTTCACACTCTGAATTAGCCTTTGAAGCATTAACTACAGTAATATTTGTAAGTTATTCGGAAATTATTTGAATGTGTAATGTTAGTACCAGGCCAGCAGCAGAATAGTATAGTGTTGATATCATCTACAAAAACACTGCTAACCGTTTATTTGTAACAATAGATTAACCTTTCATCTAAGTCATTCCTACAATATGTGCAATTGTTATAAAATCAATTGATGGTTTGTAATGTATGTACCAAGGTATGTTTTGTAGTGTAGTTTCCAGAATGTTTCTCTCACGAGTATATATACCGTTGGTGTCGAACTAAAATAAATGAAATGTACTTAATTTCTATATTTATAGGTATTAAGATGCATAAATAAATACTGTTCACAAAATTGATTTTCGTAATAAAGTATGTAAATCAGCGAAAACCATACTGTTTCTTCTTCGAATAGATCTATATGAATTTTAATACAAAAACTCTGAGGTAGGGGTAGGAGAATAACCCATAACTCGCAGCATCATTATGCTGAATCGCATTTGGACGTGGTCTGTGACTACTGTAGAAGCTGTCAGGAGCTGATACGAACCCTCAAGATGCAGTGGGTTCTTCAAAAGTGCACTCGAGCCCTCCAGTCCTTACCCTACCAACCACCTTATCACTCGACTCTGTATACTACACAACATTTAATGAGTGTTTCATATGTCCAATTTTGTTTGTGTTTTATTTTTTATTCACTAACATTTATAGGCCTACAGCCAGTCTTGCTGCAAAAAGCTAGAAAACTGAAAAGGCAAGCACTATAGACTGCACTAAACATAAATTAAATTGTCAACTTATAATTGTTTCCACAGAATTTGTTGCTAATTTCATATACTGGATATATATATTTTTTTTTATTAAACTGTCTAGGGATTTCAGTGCATCAAGCCTTATTTCCCTTAGCAAGACTGAATGTAGATCAAGGCAGCAAACAACACAATGACACCCTCCCCATCTAAATCTTGAATACCATATCTAAGGATGGAAAGTCTATAAAAAGCATTACTGCTTTATTTTGAACACTGTTCAATTATAACGCATCCCTGAACAATAAAATAACATGAGCACTATTGGTTGTACGTTAAGTTGACATTAAATTTTACAGAGTTGCATTTAACATATGCATATGGACAGTATAAACATTGTTATTTATAAATCAGGAAAAACACATTTTTAGAATGTTGTCCTGTTTTAATTGTGAGGGTTTCATTCCTGATGTAAAATATGATCATAACTTGTCGAGGATATCATGAGCTTTGACCTCCACCAGATTTTGCATAGATTTCACGTCCTCACACCAGTTAACAAGTCTCTCCTGCATTATAGAAATCTGGAAGGACAAAAGATCAAATTACTCACACTTGTGTGTAGATATAAAACAAAGCCACTTACATTATTGAGCAATTAATAAATACACAGGCGAAGATAATAAAGTTCTTTTTTTTTTGTAAATTTGTCTTGGTTATGGTATAACCATGATGCTGAATTACTATGGAGATAAAATGCCATATTTCTAAAAATAGGATGATTTATATGTTGAAATGCTTTAGCTCCAGGCGATTAACTCCTTTACTTCTCTTTCTCTAGAACCACCAATGGTCTAGAGAGCTCTGGTTATCAAAGGTAACCCCCACTGGAATTCTGATTATGGGTCAGTAAAGATGAAGTAATAATGATAAGGAATGTCCCTGGTTGTGGTGGCAGTAATTATGACTATATCTGATCAACTATCTTGCAACTGAAAGAGTTGCTTGTGTCATTGTTTAAATTTTCATAAGGAGAATAGTACTGTTATTAATATTTTATATCTATAGACAATAGACATTTCAAGTATTGTCCAAGTCTTGAAATTATATTGCTTTCTTGAAAATCATATTTTGAAATAAATTCTCAAGAAGAATCAATAAACATACAATATAAAAACCAAATGTAAATAAAAAATAAAGAGTATAAATCACCTGTTGCTTATCCAGTACTCTTGGCTGTACCCATGTCATGTGTACTTTGGCATCTACTTGGTCAATAGAACCCTTAACTAGCCCCAATGACAAAGCCTTCATCACTAAAATCTCAACCTGTTAAATCATATAAAAAAAAAATATTGCCTAATTAAACACAGACAACTAAAATGAACCTCATTTTAACGATTACATAAAAATGATGTAATTAATTGTAAAGCAAGTACAATATAGTCATTCTTTGTGGAGAATGGTTGTGATTTGCTGATAAATGGGCTGATACATTATCATACCCACATAGGGTGTATAGTAATATGATATTTTATGCCATTATTATACGGGCAAATCACAGATATTTGTCAAATAAAACTTGACAGAGTTGAAAAGGAAAATATACTTTTTGTAACACAACTATGAAAATAAACTGAATTAACTAGCCTCATTCATTTCCAGTTTTGTTGCATCAGCTATTTCTTGGAAGGTAATACTGCGGTTGTTAGCTGGTCTAGTAAATGTCATCTCCATCAAGCACAACAGACAGATCTTTTGCCTCAAGTTTAACTCCCTTACTGCTAAGTCAGGCTAAAGAGCAAAAAAAAAAAAAACAAATCAAAATAATATTAATAGATATAATTATTGATAGCTCACACCAAAGAAAGAGGAAAGGCAGTGTCAGGTAGTTTTGTGATACCTAGCGTAGGGAGGATGCCGTCTGCATATCTTTTTTATTACCCAGTTCTACCCACTATTCAGCACAAAGTTTCAGCAAACACATTTTATATTTCATGAACCACTCTGTTGTTGCAAGCACACTTCTTTGGTGATGATGGGCACTTCCATTGTTAACTACAGGGGTGATGCATTTTCAAACAGAACTGAGCTTTCTTCCCTTTTCACATTCTTTTCCCAAAATCAGATGATTAATCCCTTTTATGGGGGAATGCTTTGACCCATTCTTGTTACTTTGTTGCTTGTGGGTAATTTTTATAATTCCATAGTTTGGTGATATTATTAGTTAAATAGTGATGTCTCCCTGACTGTCATTTGTCTTTTAAATAAAGCTGGCTAAATTTAAAAATATTATTATAATAAACACAATATGTAACATTAATATTAAGATTAAGAACAATAACGTGCAATAATTATAATACAAATAATTAACTAAAATACAAATTACAAACTCTATAATATTGACCAAGGAGTAAGTACTGTAGTCTACAACCCCCACTCCACAAATAAAAATAAGGACACCTGCATTTACTCACATACAAAATTACATCCATACTAATAATACTATATATATTATAGGTAGTTTAGGCCCAATATTACAAAGGTAGTCCAGGTAGTTACCTGTTGTTTCCAAGTACTACTTAACTCTTCAAACCTGTCAAGGTTTCCACTGTTGAAGGCATAGAGTAAATCCACTAACCAATTCTTATCTGTCCCTTTCAATGAATCCAAAATGGGATGTGCAAGCTGAAAGCAAATATTGAACAATAAATAGCACATATAAACAGTAGTGGAAAAACATATAAAAAAATACTGAAAAACAAATATAAATACAGTACAAATAAATAATATTAAAAATAAACAATAAACATCAAAAATAAATATTTCAATTAATTAATATGACAACTCCAATACAAATATTGAAAATGAATGAAATACTATAAATAACACAAGTATCAAAAATAAAATACTAATATATGATCAAAATATAGCAAGAATAATAATAAGAGAATAAACATTACTTAAATTTTGAAGCAATTACCAAGCAATCACAAAATGTTAAGATCATTGCATTTGTCCCATAAAATAAAATTGTTTTTACCAGTTCGCCAAAGTTGTAAATTCCATCACCAAGCAGTGCAGCTAGACAAAGATTAAAGGCTCGTTCCTTCTTTACATCCTCTGATTTAAAAAAAACAAAAAACCACAATACATCACCGTTATGGATATATGTAAATCACCTATTTTTTAATATGCATTGTTCCTTAATATCAAAATTTAATTAACATATTTGAGTATCATTATAATAATAATAATAACTTTATTTACAAACGGAGAAACTTGTCATATAAAATGTGTTTTTTACAAGACCGTTTTGACTTAAATAAAAATTATACAAAGTAAAACAAAAGTAACAATCATTAAAGGAAACAGAGAAATATATACAATTATACAAGTAAAAAAAAAATAAATAAAATTTTAAATCACAATTAATTGTAAATTTCATTAATTTTAAATCACAATTAACTTGAATTTCACGCTCGCTGTTTGATTCTTGTGTACTAATTTACATAACAATTCGCAGTGACGGGTGGTGTCTATGTTTTGTGGTTTGCTTCATTAGTCGCTTTTCTAATTTGCTTATTTACATACATGTGTATAAAGCCATATAAGCTTTGACAAAAATTTGTTATCTTTCGCACCGATGATGAGAATCGTTTTCTATTGCACGATTTTGTATGCATGCAATGGAACGCTAAAAAAGTACTGCCACGAAATAGGGGGCGCCCTATTCAAACTCGAACATGCACGCAGCACATGTTCCATCATTAAAACGTCTTATAAGGCCACACCCCTTTGTGGAAGTACTTTTTGGAATAGCGTTGCATTCCAATGAAACCACGGCAGTCGGACCTCTTGCAGTTTTATAATCTTTGCTAGTACCCAATGGATCTTTCCGGATTGTCAATCAAACTTAAATGACCAATCAGAAGAGTGCCAGGAATACGCGCCTGTCCAACACATGTGTGGTCCCACAAACGCACATGTTGATGTGCATTTACACTATACTGTCTTGTGGGACCTTAGCTACAATATCCCAGAGGCGGGGCTTAGTAGAAAGGTCCATTCACACGAGACAAAATGTTACATTCGTGCTGGGCTAAATTTAGTAAACATCCATGTGAAGGGATGTGATCGATTTAAAGAAAAACAGAGGTCTGTGACACTCCAAAATACATTATATACAACAGTGATTTCAGTAAAAAATATTTCATTAATATTTAGCACACATCACATGTAAAGTTGATCCGATATTTCAATTGGAAGCTTAAATTCACTGTGTTATGCAATAATTCTTAAAGCTTAGATAATTCTGGCACACACTGCTTTTGCCAACAAATTCAGCTCCGCAACCCATGAGTGCTATCAACGTGATGCCGTCTGCTGTTTCCTTGTTGGAAGTCTGAACAGATTGTCACGATATGTTGCATCTGCCTTGTGTGTGCCCGCCATTAACAATCATTTGACACTCACCTGGTAAGTCGTCAATAGACATACATCCAAGGAATCGAAGAGCATCGCGGTAGTAGTTGGCATGGTTACCCATGATCTTGTAGTAGGTGCTTGAGAGGTCATAGAAACGTCCATGTACTGTGGTGACGCCATCTATGTTGTCAAGCAAAGCCTGACATTCATCAACTAGTTTCTGCCATCATAGAAAAAAGGTTTAAAATATTCTTATTTATTATCACAAGTAATTAGTGAGCTGGCATTGATCAGTAGCTATGTTATTTAGAATGCCAGACACTCGCTTGAGCGTGTGAATTGCCAATACTTGTAACTTTTTTTTTTTTCAATTTGTGCTCTTTTCAAAAATAAAAAAACATCAAGTCTCATCTTTTATCTCTGTTGTTCATACCCTCCATGCATCTGATAAAGCCATGACCTGGGTTTTTTGTTACACTTTTTTATTGTTTTATATAAAGAATTATTTGAATCTGTATTTTTCACTGGCAATGAGCTGCATTCTGTAAGTACAATTATTTTTTTAATACATGAATAATTCTAAATAAAACCAAAAAATACATTCAAAAAATATTTAAAGATTTTGATTTAACTTTAAAACAGATCTATATATTAAGGAAATTCAATCATTTTATAGTTGACCCTGCACTGTCAGGGTATTAGTGACCATGCACTGCCAGGGCATTGTTGACCATGCCCTGTCAGGGCATTAGTGACCATGCACTGCCAGGGCATTATTGAACATGCACTACCATGGTATTAGTGACCACACACTGCCAGGGCAATAGTGACCATGCACTGTCAGGGCATTAGTGACCATGCACTGCCAGGGCATAAGTGACCTGCTTCAATATTATTCTCCTGAAGACAATTGAAGCAACTCATTTTTGGTATTAAGAATGTGGTGATTCAACTGTATTTTCATTTCATTTATTTATTCGACCAAAAGAACAAGAATGAGAACAAACAATAAAACAAATGGTCAGGAAAAAACTAAAGCGACAAAAGTCACTACCGTATGACCTGTCTCTTATACACATCTAGATGTGTATAAGAGACAGAACATGCACTGCCAGGGCATTAGTGACCATGCACTGCCAGGGCATTAGTGACCATGCACTGCCAGGGCATTAGTGACTATGCACTACCTACTAGGGCATTAGTGACTATGCACTGCCATTTTCCTGCATGTTGTCATTCATGTAGACATGTTAACATGTATTTTGCTATTTGTCTCTCTTTCCTATATTTTTTTCCTAATTCTGCTACACTTTAATTGATGCCTTTTTTAGATTTACTAATTAACTTTACATAATGCTAAAGATGGTATGGCTAACCATTACCTTGGTTGTTTGCAGATCACTTGTTTTAAGCATGATCATTGCTATAACTGTTGAGGAGAGAACTGTCGCTTCTACATTGTCTTTCACCTGAAGTAAAAAAATCACATAGTTCAGGGTTTAACATATTGATAGATCAATTATGTATCATCATCATTTGAAATTTGTATTAATATAAAAAATAGAATCTTCTAATCTATTATACTAATAAAATTATATATGTTGATTTTTGCAGAAAGCTTAATGTTTTGGAAAATACGAGGATATCTAATACTTAAAATTACAGATAACTTTAAATTAAATTTTATTAAAAATCACTTTTATTATATAAACATATAAACAGTGGTGGCGCCAGTAGGGAAAGGGAGGTATTCGTCCCCTGTCGGACAGACGTGGACATCCTGTCGTCTGACGCACGATTAGGCCGTCAGATCAAGAAAAGAAAATAATAATAATTAGCCGATACAAATAATGATATTTTTGATTAACAATTCCAAACATTGTGGTCTGAAAGTATATTTTGGACCATGCTAAAGCCATAAAAACTCTCCCTGTGAATCCTATTAGGGATTTTTTATTCGAGGCCGTGGACCGAGGCTCTAGTCGGCCCTTTGGACTGCTCCGTCAGACCTGTCGGACCCCTTGTTGGCAAGTTTCTGGCACCACCGCTGCATATAAAACACATTACAAAATTGATAAAAGGAAAATATTTAGATAATCCCCGAGATAACATTCTTGACATATATGACGAGGGGACAGAGCACAAAACAATTAATAATCAATAAATATGATACACAATATCAATATATATTTTTCAATAAATGAGTAAATCATGCAACTTCACCTTTTCTTTTAACTTGTTCAAGAACTCTACTGCCTCTGATTCTTCTAAAATGGAAATCACAGAAAAGATGTTATTCCTTTAATTACATATATTTTTTATGTTGTCCATGTATTCAAACATTCTAGCACATCCTTAATAGCTATCTTAAACTGCTAATGCCCTAAGATGTTCCATAAAGGTTATCAAATAATATTAAATAATTTCATTTTATTTCATTTATTCAACCAAAAAAACAATACAAAAATTAGAACAAACAATAAAACAAATGGTCAGGAAAAAACTAAAGCGACAAAAGTCACTACCGTATGACTCAGGAGTCAGTAATTCCAACATAAAATAAATCTATATATTATAATAATTATATTAATAATAATAATTTATTATATATAATTATATAATTTAAATAATAATAAAATACAAAAAATAATAATTATGATAATAATAATTTGAGTAATGGTAGGGAGGGGAATATTTAGGACAGCATTAAATTACAAAAACAATATAATAGCAGATAGGAACTAGTTAGGAAGCCAAGTGTTAGACTGGGTTGGGGCCAAGTATTACAAGAATAATGCATGTAAAATAGTAAATCAGAACTGAAAATTAGCGGTCGCCCTTTCTTGTGTCGGGTGATAATAAATGTCGTGGGTATTGGCAATCTGGCGACCCTTACTGGGCTCACGCTAACCGTAAAATAATTTAAAAGTTTCAAATACTTGCTAAAATACATCATTTTTTTCGTTCGAGCTCCATTTTCGCCAATCCATAGCCACGTGAAGATTATTTGTAAATTGTTGTATTGGTAGTCTATTTGCCAATCTCTAAAATCACATTTTTGGGTCATAAAAACTCTTGTGTCGATCATGAACTAATATGGATTTTTTTTCTGGTACCCTGACCAAGACTCTTTACAACTCAAACTAATGATTTTGGCTAAAGACAGATTCACTTGCTAAAAAAAATTATTAAAAGAATGTCATCTTGCTGGTTTTATTGATTTTGTTTTTTCGTAAAATTATACTCCAGGCCTTAAAAAAAATAGGACCAGTATAACTTTGGAAGGGCCAGTATCATTTTTTTCCTTACTGGCCCTGCTGGCCACTATGGTTCAAAGGTTAATTTTCAGCCAGGTGGTAAACAGGTATAACTGTACCTTTGAATTGCTTGATAATAATTAGAGCAATCTCTGTAAGTGACAGTAAATTGATTCTATGTTCAAAGTCAGCGATGAAGCACTCGTACATCTATGAAATAAATATTTTCATGGTTAGTCTACTTTATAAAAATATGATAATGGTACTGTAAACAAATCTAACAAAAACATGGCACAATACTTTGAAGAGTAGGGCCTAGTTGAAGATTGTATTGATCAACAAATTGGTTATCATTGCATGAAAAATTGCACTGAGAATAACAAAGCATGCAAATCGATAACAAAAACAGATATCTATATTGTCAATTGCTAAATTTAATTCACCTGTAAAAGTCCATTGCCTTCTGCAAACACTTGATTCTTGACAAACACTAGAAGTTTTTCTGTCAACTGATGCCATAGCCTAGAACATAAAGTCAATTCACTTACAAATGTAACACAAGTCCTAAATTAATTTTTTTTTTTAATTGTATTAGTAATGAAAATCAATCAAAGCTGCAATTCAACTGGCCCTGGGAATCCGGACCCCAAGCCCGTAGCCAGGGGGGTTCATTGGGTTCGAACGAACCCCGCTTTTTATGAAGTTCCCTTTCAACAAAGGCTGGCTAGACTACACTTTAGGCCTAGCCTAGAGCCTATCATCATTAAAGTCCTACTTTAATACCTGATTAAGGCCTACTTAGTACAGTAACATAAAAAATTCAGGCCCCGAAACCTTGACTCGAAATACCGGGATGGTGTCCGGCGGGGGATAGTTTCACATGTGTATTGTTTCACCTGTGTATTTATATTATTATAATACGCTACAACCAACCATACAAATTTGTCTCGGTTCTTTTTGTTACTGATTGTCTTAAGTGAGTATAGTATGATACAACTTCCAAAGTGCTATGTAAATAAAAAATAAAGAATAAACCATACTGGATTCTTTGGAGTTTGTATCATGCTACTGTTGTTAAATTACCAATACTGTAGTACTAAAGTACAGTAGTAGTTTTTTTTCTGTTTTTTATCTTTTCCCAACTCAAAAATTTACCTCTTTAATATATACATTTTTTTAAATGTATGGCCTCTCAAATCAATTAAATAACACCTGTTAATGTTTATAGAATGCTGGACCCCACCAGGGTTTTGGCCCTGGACCCCCGGGGGCCCTTGGCGGCCCCCCCACCTGGCCTGGCCCCAGCCAATAGTGCTCACAAGTGCCCTTTCAGTACCAAAAAGAACCCCCCTACCAAAATCCTGGCTACGGCCCGGGGTTGGACCCCACCCCTACTCCTTTGCTGGATCCCCGTCCCCAACTAACCATCACCTCATAACTGAAGGATGAAATATTAAAACAGAAGGGCATTAGCGCCATATGGCATAAATTATAACACTAACAACAGACTGCTGTTTATAAAAAGTTCGATTCTCGCCGAGAAGCTAGGCCTAGGCCAAAAGGCCATTTGATCCGACAAGGGGTTTCAAACAACGTGTGGACCCTACAATCCTTCAATATCGCTGAATCATAAAATTTACGGATTGGCCTAACAAAAAGGTAAGAAAACACACTTTTTGTTATACAATTCCTCTATTTCTGTCCATTCTTGTACTATTTCTGCACTTCCTTGACTTTGCTGCTCCTTTAAATATCCACTTACGTCTCTCATTTTTATAAAATTTACTGCTCAAAATTGTAGAGTTTGTAACCTAAAGTTTCATGTGTAGTTCCGATGTAGACAGCGCCACCAGCGATCGCTATTTAACCTCGATTGATGCAGGGTTCGCGGAACGCCGCCCTCAGCGGCGAGTGCGAAGCACAACTCAAGGTCAAAAGTGGAACGTGAAATTTGGATATGGTCAGCTACCCGTATTTCTCGACTGAGACGTCAGTGGGAGCTGTAATTTGTATGGCAAGGAGATTGTGCATCCCTTCATTCGTATTACGCCCAGAAACTTTGTAGTTATTAATATTTTGGTTATAATAGAAAATATTCATTTTTTGGTGACGTCACACCACGTTAGTTAGCATGCATACGTCATAAGCTATACGTCACCTTTTCCTGGCCCAAGGCAAACGTGCTTTTTTCATGGATAAACAAACACCACTGCTTTGCACATGGATGCCTTGTCCAAGTCAGGGCTACAAGAGCCGCATTGTTAGCATTGTATAATACTTAAATAAGGTACCTCTGCAAATGAATTATTCTTAATAGTTATTTTTTTTTCTTATTTTAATTTATTTCTTCCGAAAGTGTACTTTCTATCACATATAATTCCACTGTCTTAGTTAGGCCTAGGCCTAGTCTCATGCCTCATCGTCCCCTGCTACACAGTACATCAGGAGCCCCTCCCCCATACAGTACAGACGTTTGCTAGGTAACAACGTAATTGCACCTTCCTTCCCAGGTGTTCATGTAACATTGACATAATTGTTAGCTAACCAGTTGTGTGTATTTCTTTGTGAAAATGAGTACCGCGGCGTACTCATTTTCACAAAGCATTTGCATTCCCTCTTGGAAAGAGGGATTCGAAATAATAGTCTCCATATCTTCGCTAATTAAATTAATCACCGTAATTTAGCTTACACTTATGATTTAGGGAGCACTTTAAAATGTGAAATAATCATTTCACTACCCGACAAACTCCGAACTTTATTCATTCGTTAGGCCTACCTACATAACACTGTCACTGCAGTTTCATATTGCTGTACTATATACTCCAACGTCACTCTGGCGCATGGTAACAACCAACTGACTGCAGACCATTTCCGGTCACACATTACTCTCCATACCACAGCACCCCAAGTTCCGTCACCTCTGGATTCATAGCTCTATGCCTCGATTTTCTTTTTTTTTTCGAATTAGCCATGGAATTAGCTTATTCCGTCTCTAAATTAACTTTCTCGTTGGTGGCGCTGTCCAGAATGACAAAAATAATAAAAAATAAGAGACTTGTGGGAAGTCTACCAAGCTTCCTGAAATGCATTAAAATTTGAAAAATGCGTGTTTTTCGCATGTATAGTTTCCCTTTTAGTTCAATTTATAAACCATTTTTTATTGTAATTGTTTGTGAGATGTGTATAAGAGACAGGGTGTAGACCCTCCATCTTTAAAAGTCCCTCCCTGGCCCCTCTATCTATAATTCATGGGTCGCCACTGCAGTCGATACTTAAAATCAATGAGTGCTGATGACCCAACGCTGGAGGGTGTTAGTCTGCTGAAACAGAAACAACCAGGATACAAATTGTTTCGAAACATAACACAAAATACCTTTCGTATCAAAGTTGTGATGTGCATATGACTCATTAAAAGGCTTGTAATAAAGCTGAATAAAATAGAATAAACAATACGTAACATAACGAGACACGCTACTTTTATAAAAATAACATAAGAACGTAGTTTAGTTCACACGCTAACGCTTTTGTACAGTATCTATACCTGTCTCTTATACACATCTAGATGTGTATAAGAGACAGGAGCTGTATAGAGTACCGCCGCAAGTGCCCTTTCAGTACCAAAAAGAACCCCCCTACCAAAATCCTGGCTACGGCCCGGGCTTTGACCCCACCCCTACCCTAGCCCTTTGCATAATCCTGCTGGATCCCCGTCGCCAACTAACCATCACCTTATAACTGAAGGATGAAATATTATTATTAAAACAGAAGGGCATTAACGGCATATGGCATAAATTATAACACTAACAACAGACTGCTGTTTATAAAAAGTTCGATTCTCGCCGACAAGCTAGGCCTAGCCTAGGCCAAAAGGCCATTTGATCCGACAAAGGGTTTCAAACAACCTGTGGACCCCACAATCCTTCAATATCGCTGAATCATAAAATTTACGGATTGGCCTAACAAAAAGGTAAGAAAACTCACTTTTTGTTATACAATTCCTCTATTTCTGTCCATTCTTGTACTATTTCTGCACTTCCTTGACTTTGCTGCTCCTTTAAATATCCACTTACGTCTCTCATTTTTATAAAATTTACTGCTCAAAATTGTAGAGTTTGTAACCTAAAGTTTCATGTGTATAGTTCCGATGTAGACAGCGCCACCAGCGATCGCTATTTAACCTCGACCATGACCTCGATGCAAGCTTCGCGGAACGCCGCCCTCAGCGGCGAGTGCGAAGCACAACTCAGGGTCAAAAAGTGGAACGTGAAATTTGGATATGGTTTCATAGTCAGATTTGTGAGAAAAAATTCAGCTACCCGTATTTCTCGACTGAGACGTCAGTGGGAGCTGTAATTTGTATGGCAAGGAGATTGTGCAACCCTTTATTCGTATTAAGGGAATTTACGCCCAGAAACTTTGTAGTTAATATTTTGGTTATAATAGAAAATATTCATTTTTTTTGGTGACGTCACACTCACGTTAGTTAGCATGCATACGTCATAAGCTATACGTCACCTTTTCCTGGTAAGGCAAACTTTCCCGGCGTGCTTTTTTCATGGATAAAGAAACACCACTACTTTAATTGCACATGGATGCCTTGCCCAAGTCAGGGCTTTATTCATTCATTAGGCCTACATAACACTGTCACTGCAGCTTCATATTGCTGTACTATATACTCCAACTTCACTGGCGCATGGTAACAACCAACTGACTGCAGACCATTTCCGGTCACACATTACTCTCTCCATAACACAACACCCCCTAGTTCCGTCACCTCTGGATTCATAGCTCTATGCCTCGATTTTCTTTTTTTTCGAAATTAGCCATGGAATTAGCTTATTCCGTCTCTAAATTAACTTTCTCGTTGGTGGCGCTGTCCAGAATGAGAAAAATAATTAAAAAAAATAAGAGACTTGTGACAAGTCTAGTTCAAAGAGTATAAACCATTGCTATTATATCTCTATGGTAAACAGAAAAGAGTCCGCTCGACGACAGCACGCCCTCTACAAACTGTTGTGGATAAACTGCGTGAGTGGATTTCCCGCACGATTAAAAATCGTAAAGTACTGGAGTTCGTGACTTGAACCAGGGACTGGCCGAAAATTTCTTTTAAAAATAAATACAGTGTTCAACAGTCTACATGCCTTGTTGTCATAATTTTTGCTTCAACGACTAATATATAAGTTGAAGAACACAGGTGGATTTGCAGTTATTAGGAGAAGAAATTGTACTTGTAAGAATGTTTCTGTAAAAAGTGAAAATAAAAGTATCTTGTATTTTGTATTGAGGTATTAAAACTCTATTCGTTTATGTTTTGGTGAAATAATAGGCCTATCGTTATTATTATACAGTTCATCAGGTTTTCGGTTTTTTCGAATTAAACTTGACCCATCTAAGATATAAAACTGTACCCAGTTGACCTAAATATGCTGCGTGTGAAGCTAAAGTTTAAACAGCTTACCAGATTTTGAATTCACAGAACGATTCCTTCGGGTACATCAAAAGCATACGGGAAATAATTTATCCTGTATACCCCATATAACCTTCGTGTAAACCACCTTTTACTAATGACTTTATTGACAGATTTCCGCTCCCATTTTGTACACTAACTGATATAGGCATAATTAGAATATTCTGAATATTGTTTGAAGGTTTAAAAAGCTCATCAAGCAACACATTTTAAACAAGGATTTATATTCCCCTTTTTTCCTGTGTGGGTTCGGGTGTTGGTGTGTGTGTGTGTGTGTGTGTTTGTTTTTACTTTGTCTGTTTTGTCTGTTTTTTTTTCTTTAGCTTTCTTTTTCTTATTATATTTTTTTAGTATTTTAATGTTTGCTGTTTTAAATGTTATACAGCTATAAAATAAAAATGGTAATTGATACGACTTATGTTGTTAGAAACCCGTTTGTTCAATGTGCATTATCCTATATTTAAATAATACAATCTATCTTTTAAATTTACTAAGATTCACATCTATATATATATCATCATCTCCATCACAAAAAGTGTGATGGAGATGATTCTTGCAATATTTGCTATGTTACAGCACTGAAAATTGAATGCTTAAATAAACGTTTAAAATGCCCTAATTATCGTGCCGAATGTTTATTATAGTTGTTATATGGCATAATGATGACATGTGTAATAAAAGAATTACAAATGTTAAACTTTTTTTTTTCATGATTTCTAAACCTCTAAAATGGCACATTAGCGAAGAATGACCCATTTATCGATAACAGTACTAAGTCAAACAATATCGTACTTTTTGATGTTCTAATTTCCCAGAACTGTACATCGACCTTGCTTCACCGCTCATCGCGGGAATCTGCAATGCAATCAGCGTGACCACTCACAATTTTTGATATACCCAATTACTGGGTCAAAATTACCCAAGATGCAGCAGCAATTACCCAAGCTTCCTGAAAATGCATTAAAATTTGAAAAAAACCGTGTTTTTCGCATGTATAGTTTCCCTTTTAGTTCAATTTATAAACCATTTTTTTTATTGTAATTGTTTGTGTTAATTATTAAAATTAATATTCATGAGGTGATAATACAGATAGAAAAATACGCTCTCAGTCGGCCAGTGTTATCAGTAGATCAGTGATCAAGGTTTATTATGTAATGCATTAATTAAGTAAGATCAATGGCAACGCAAATCACAAATAAACAATTCTGAACCCATGTTTATAGCAATTAACAATCAATTAACAATGTTATGTGCACTTCGTTGAGTTTTGCTTACTTGAATGGACTGACATATATTTGTTACTTCTTAATTCTTCCTCTGTGACAAAAATATTTAATTTTCTTAGTAAAAATAAAATACCCAAGGATTTCAACGGAATACCCAAGAACCCAAGACCAAGTCAAAATACCCAAGATCTTGGGTAAATACCCAAGCAGTGGTCACACTGAATGCAATGCCAGTCTTGAAAAATGACGTCACGCATATTTTGGCACTTTATTGGGTGATGGTGACGTAATGCCGACAGGAGCTGAAGTGAACCATAGCCTTAGGGTAGCCCATACTTTTCTGGAAAATGCAATTGGTTCTTTAGATTCTTTAAGTTCAGACGAGCATATTAAAAAATATCTTTAGAATAAAATAAAAATCTCATAATAAAAAAATAATTGAAATACTGAATTACACACGAGTAATAAACGAAATTTGAAGATTCCCGTTTTTTCATATTATCATTTTGCTTTAAATGATAATACGCTTTTGTATGATGATGAGGATTTGACCATTACGATAGGCCTAACCCAAAATACAATATCATTTTTAAAACCAGATTTTCTTTAAACTTGATACCAAGGAATACCTGATGAGTTGATGTTTTCTCACTGTCTTTTTAGTGTTCTGCATGCAAAGAAATCACGTATTGCAGCCGAGAATGCCAACGCCAACATTGGTCATCTCACAAAACTGAATGCAAACAAATTTGCCAACAAGTGAAAACGTTAGCTGAAGAGCTCAGATTTCACTTTCAGCGGCATAATGAAATGCAAACGATGAATGATTTCCCTTACTATTTCGGGAACACTCTTGCTGTCGATGTACTGAAACTAGGCTGCAACGAAGCAGAACCATCTCTCAAAAATGTTGTTTCTCAACTTGCAAGAGATTACAACATCTTATTCGCAGGTGTTGGAGACTTACGCAATCTCCTGCTTACAACAGCATCACTTCCAAGCAACTTCACAGGTAATGTTAGGTTTACCCTAAACGATATCGATCCATTTGTTCTAGCAAGAGGTGCACTGTTCCTGTATATGATGATAACTCAGAGTTCAAGAGAATATATCGAGGTGTCAATTACGAATATATGGTATTCGATTCAACTCCCGGATGAAGATTTCTATCTTTTGATGTCAGCCCTCAGTGAACTTATAGAACACACTGTCGAAACACTGAAGGGTAAGACAAACAATCTTCTGGATGTAGAGGAGAAGGATTTTGAAATGATGAAAGAGGTTTGGAAAGAGTGGAGGGAAATGGAGTGTAATACTAGGAAGTATAATTCCATTCATTTGTCTGCTCAGAGATCCCGCATATTTGACAGAGATCCCGGGTCATCATGTGGTATATCGGGTTACATTCGTTTGATTCCGCAAGAGTATCGCGTATCTGCAAAAAAGTACTTTGAAAACGGATTGTTTTTACCAAATGATGTCCATAAAAGAAGCGAATTGAAATATGATAACCCCACCTTAACTGGACGCCCAAGGTTTGCGGAAAAAAGTTTGCATGTTCGGTCAAGACCAAAGTTTTATAACTTTGTATACTGCATCCGAGCTGATGTATTGCCATTCGATGGCTGGGATTACATCCAGGCAAAAAAAGTATCGCAACCCAACTCAATCGTTGATCTATTCCATACGTACATTGCCAGCATCATAAAATCTGCATTAATATTTTTTGAAAGAAATATGATCTATTCAAAACCCATTCTCAAAAACTGTACAGATCTTTTTAAGTTACCTAATGCTAAGCCTGAATTCGACCGCATTATGACGTCAAACATTGCAGATTACACTAACATCAAGGTACTGCTATCATCAATGCGCCCTCTTTTGAGCACAACTAACAAACATGCCGTACTTGTTACAGATATAATGAACTGGACACGCTGGTGTCCAGAGGCAGATTTGGGAAATCAACGGAATGCATTCAAGATATACAACTTAGGATTGCCCGATAAATTGTTTCAAGACACAGGGCGCCATGATGATTTTGAATACATGGTTCAAGGTATGAAAGAATACTATGACGACACTACATTTTTCATTCGTTACTTGCGCATTTTGTTTCTTGCGACAAATAATGAACCGTCAGTAAAAGAAGAGGTTCCATTCTTTCTTAAGTCCTTTGAAAATATTGAAGGTTTTCGTCTCAGAGATTTCACAAAAGAACTTAATAAGGTAATTCCATTTCGATATCGGCTGAACACAAGGCTATGTAATCATAGTACTGGATCTGAGAGAAGTTTAGAATGGCAACTGGTTTAAAATGATCAAAAACACACAATCAAGTAAAAAGATAAAAAAAAAAAGAAGCAGATTGTGTGAAACACTCGTCTGATCAGCTTTAAGCCATAGCCCCCTTACATAATGGTTAAAATTGTATTACTAATTTTATGTTTTTAAAGCAAAACAAAAAGGGAAACATAAAAAATATATAAATAACACAAAAACAAAAAAATGAAACAAATATGATTATATTATAAATAATCTTGTGAGAACCGTTAACATTTTTTTTTTCCTATGCATATCAGAATAACAAATTTAATGATAATGATAATAGAGTAGCAACAATAACGATAATAATAACAATACCGACAACAGTAGCAGTAATAATAGTAATCATAATAATAATAATTTTAATAATAATAATAATATCAAAGACAGTAATAACAATAATAGTAGTAATAACAATAACAATAATAAAAATAATATCATTACTATTACAAACCACCACCACAATCACCACTACTAAAATATTAGACCACAACAAGACACACCTCTAAAGAAAATATTTATTCTTCGTAAGCAGAGATTAAGGACTGCTTTTAGGATTTTTTTTAAGTGTTTACGGAAAATTTTGTTTTTAGGTCGTCTTGAAGATTCAGCCATAATTTGGGGCCATAATATGGAATAGAATGGCGTCTTACCTCAGTTAAGTAGTTATTGTTAATTATGTAATTTGTATTTTGGGAAAATCTAGTCGGATAATTATGAATACTTGAGGCTTCGGTAAAAAGGTTTTTTAAACAATATGGAATAGAATTTTTAGAAAGACGAAACATACTGTAAACAAAACAACTGGGAACTTATTAAGGTCATAGATATTAAGAATGTTGTATATTTTAACGATAGCTTTAGTATGAGATCTGAAGGAAGTTCCGGCACAAATCTGGAGAGCCCGCTTTTGAAGACGAAATGTCGATCTAATTTAGTTGATTGATTACTGATCCAAGGACATAGGTATTCAAACTTGTCAAGAGCTTTTTGTTGGGGGCGTGTGCACCCCCCCCCCCCTTGGATACGCCACTGTAAATAAGACATTGTGTTTGTTTTATAAAAAATCTATTAGTTTATTATAAATAATACGTTCTACCTTTGCAAGCTTTAGGGGATCTGGAAAAACTCCATTAAACAGGGATATATTAAAATATGGGTCAAACGTTTTACAATATATATTTGGAAATGGATTTTATAACTTTGCTTAGATATCCATCAACTCCTGTACTCTTCTTTTCATTTAGTTTGGAGATTAGATCAACCACCTCGTCTTCTGAGATTGGAGAATGAAAAAGAGAATTTTGTATAGGTTGGGGTCGGAATGAAGAATATTTCAGATTAAAATTGGGAATCTTTATACTGCTTGCTAAATTTGGACCAATGTTAACAAAATAATCATTAAAATGAGATGCAATGTTTTAAGGATCAGTACTTTTGTCTTCGTTGTGCATAAAATATGATGGCAATGGATTATTTTTGGTTTTACCTAGTACTCTGTATTACTTGCCAGGTTTTTTGTATAGTAAATTTATATAATTTAATTTTTCTATGTAATACATTTTTTTAAGTCTTTGATAACTTAGCAGGTTTATTCCTGTAGTTAATATATTTAATTTTGTCCTTTTTTTTTGTTTTGCTTTTAGATATGTTTTATAACGTTTATTTCTTGTGTCAATTGATTTAATTAAGCCGTCAGTAATCCAAGGTTTTTGTTCTTTATGATAATTCCGTTTACAGCGATGTTTCTTGATGTTTTTTTTGTGTAAAAATGATTAATTAAATTAAATACATTGTAGGCTTAGGTTGGATCAGCATTGCTATTATGAACGTCATCTCAGTTGAGATTAGAAAGATGGTTAATTAGTGCAGTCAAATTATTATTCGTAATTTTTGTGATATATATATAATCGGAATTTTTATTTATAGCTGGGTTAGATATTTGGAATCTATTATAATGTATTAAGAAAATATGGGATAATGATCACATATATCGAACACTAAACTACCAGGGGAGATTTTGTCTAAAAAATTATTTGTAAATATGTTATCAATAAGTGTAGCTGTTTTTGTTGTTATTCGCGTGGGTTTAGTTGCTAGAGGGTAAAAATTTGAATTAAACGTTATAATAATAAATTCTGATGTGACTCTTCTATTTTCAGCAAATCAGAATAAATATACAGTATGCCCAGAGTGGGAAAACAAAAGATGAAAATGATGGGTAGTGGTAGTGGTACTATATACTACAGTACTGTAAAGCTGATTTACTTACACTACGAGCAACAAACCAGAATTGTATCCCCTTAAAGATGTACTGTCCCTTGAAAATGACCAAAATCATAAAAAATAATTTTTAAATTAACTTGCTCATTTTGCGTAACATACAAATTATTAACTTTAGCATAGAAATTATTAAATTTGAAAAAATGTGTTTCCTGATTTTTTAACTGGATCTTTATAATAAAAATAATAAAACACTTCCAGTGACTGGAAGTATATCATTTTTTCGCTGTAAAATGATAGTTTTTATGGGTAAGCATTTTTAAATACACTAATTTCTATGTTAAGTTGATAATTTTTATGTTACTTCAAAATGCTAAGTAAATCATAAAAATTATTTTTATGATTTTTTTTTTGTTTTGTTTTTTGCAAGGGACAGTACATCTTAATTCATTAGAGTAAACATCGGTATAGGACTACAGGTGTGTGTATATATATGTATATGTATATATATATATATATATGTAGAATATAATATAAAGTAACAGTAAAGAAACTCAAATACGTAAGATGTTGACTTTAGAAACACTAAAATTTATTAGGCGAATATTTCTGCTACTCCTGTAGTCTTTGTCAACGCTTGACATAAAATGAACATATTGAGAAACTATCTTAGCAATATACAATTTGAGAAACAATACAGTAATTAAGTCAAAGCAAGTCGGCATAGATAGTTTCTCAATATGTTCATTTTATGTCAAGCGTTGACAAAGACTACAGGAGTAGCCGAAATATTCGCCTAATAAATTTTAGTGTTTCTAAAGTCAACATCTTACGTATTTGAGTTTCTTTACTGTTACGTTATATTATATTCTCCAACTGAGAAAAAGCAAATAACAATAAAATAATAACAATAAAATAAAATAAAAATAATCATAATAACAATAACAATGAGACTAAACTACTCCTATTCCTTAAACTAATTAATGGTTGGCCGTTGACTCCGAGGAGCTCATCTGCCCTTTGTTAATGTCTGACTTTTGGGGCTTACTAGTACGACAAGGGGTGTAGGGTGTGACAACTTCCTTGATTTTAAACGAATACTTCGCAACCGTGGCTGGACGTTTCACCGACAGACATTTGGCCTACAGACCATCGACCGAGATACCATTTCGCCGACAGCCAATTTGCAGACAGACAATTTTCCAACATTTTTTGTGAACATGTTAATGGATGGCTGTGCCACCAGGTGGCATATTTAGATGATCCATTATCATTGCCTGACGTTCTACCGACATTTGGCCTATAGACTATCGACCGAATAGCATTCACCGACACAAGATTTTGCCTACACCTCATTTTACCGAATGCCAGTTTACTGACAGGGCGGTTCACCGACAGCCAATTTACCGACTTTTGGCAATTTGAACATGTTAATAAATGGATGTGTCACATAGTGGCATATTTAGATGATTCACCAACGTACATTTGACCTACAGACTATTGATCGAAATACTATTCGCCGACACAAGATTTTGCCGACACCTCGTTTCGCCAAATGCCATTTTACCGACAGGACGATTCGCCGACACTTTTTGTGAACATGTTAATGGATGGATGTGTTACAAGTGACATATTTAGATGATTTATTTTTCGGTTACGTGCGAGTCCAAAACATTTCTAGTACCAAATATTGTGCACAGCTTACAGATATCAAATGTTAAATTATGTTTTGAGCATTGAATTTGAAACTTCCATACTGTGATAGAGCTAAAAGATCATGATAAGAAGAATTAGTAGGCCAGTGTTTAAATCATGAAAGAATTATTATATTCTGGTAACGTATTACTATACTTTATAATAATGGAACGGCCGTAATAATCTGGGATGGATGCAGGGGCTGCAACGATGCAATCGCACCCACCCCCCCCCCCCCCCCCATTGTGTTAAGAAACATTTTTTTCTATTGTATTGTTGATATATAGAACCTGTGTTCTTTTTTTGTGAATTCGTACTATGAAACAATAGAAAAGGTCATTGTAACATCAATTCAAAGTACAAAGTAATCTTATTGTCAATAGTACAAGTAAAAAAAAATATCAACAGTTAGATTCTATTCTAAATTTTTAAAAAAATTCCACAGAATGACAGCTAAAAAAATATATATATATTTAACAATTTCAGTTTAAATATCATTATATCAATTTTCTTATCTAGGTAAAAATATATACAGAATATCCCAAAGAAGGTTGAAAAATAAAGATGAGAAAAAAATTGCAGGTTAAATAAAGTATTATCAGCTCAGTATAATTCTTAATTTAGTATACAAAATATAGTACAAAAATAGTTTATAAAATTCCAGTGTAAGACATTCAAGAAAATCACAATTAAAAATAATTACAATTAAAATTATTGCAGCTTAAATATCAAAAATTCAATTAAAAAATAAATTTAAAAATTATTCAATTACAAAAAATGGTTGCAGCTAAAAAATAATAAGTTCAATTTAAACATTATTTTAGTTTACCAAAAATATAATTCCAGAGTAAGACATCAAAAAATAACATAATAAAGTTTAAAAATATAAATAAATAAATAAAATAAAATAAATAGAAAAATTTTGAATTTATTTGTTTTTTTTTTCTTACCCCCATCATCAGTTGAATAAATATCTTAAGTAAGCAAAGAATAAATATAATGTTTATTTCCTCCTGAAATCAGTGTTAAATAAAAATATTCAGTTAGGAACAAAGGAGAATCTACATCTATTAGATTTTGTACCAATTTGCCTGAGCCTACCTGATTTGTTAAAATAGAATATATAGTTAAGGGGGTGAGTCGTCACTTTGACAATGCTAACAGTTTGTTTAGGGTTTCTTTCTCGTACACCTCTTCAACATTGACAAAGTGGTTTCCAATGCCCATAATATAGCTAGCCT